AAGGTTACAAGGTTACAAGGTTACAAGGTTACAAGGTTACAAGTTTACAAGGTTACAAGGTTACAAGGTTACAAGGTTACAAGGGTTCCATCCCCAATTTTTGCCTGTATTCGATTTTAGTAGCTTTTTTCCCCTAATCACTGTATTTTGGGGTCACCTTTAATGTGTTTAAGTAATCAATTCAAAATGTGATAAAAAATATAAGAATTAAGACAATGTTTATGTTACCCATAAAACTAGAAAAATATAAACAACTTTTTGACTCAAAAACATTAATGAACATGTAACACATCAGTTGTGCAAATACCAAGTTTATTTACAAATTTCTGGTAAAATTTTCTTTAAAACAGCATAAAATTCACTTTGCTTTTACAGATTGATTTAATGTCGTCTTCCTATATCAAAACAGCTTATTACACACACAAACTATTATTATTTGGCAATCAGAGACTTTTTTTACAAAAGCCAATGGAAACATCTCTTTAAAAAATATTATGAAAATTCGAGATAAAATCAGACAGTCAAAAAATCAAACAGCGTACACAAATTTAAGCTTCAAAAGAACCATTCAAGAATCTGGATTCTTATGAACACGAAATGGATCCTAAGCACTGCTATTTATAGAAATTATATTTATGAAGAGGAAGTGATCTACCAGTCTTCTCCTCTATCCTCTTGCTAGCAGCATCTATAACAAGTTTATACAAAGCTTGATGATCAAAAGAATATAGATTCTCCTCAACATGGTTCTTTCTCTGAAATTTTCCAGTAAGATGTTTCTTAATACACTCCAGTCTGTTCAGGTCGAGTTCTATCCCAAGATGGTCAAACAAAGCTTTTATTTCTTCTACAGGGTCATCTTTTAGATCCTCATAAAACACAAAGTAAACATCTTTACCATATTTCTACCAATCTGAGATAAGCTCATACCAACGGTTGATTCCAACAAAAGCAAAGTCCTGGAATTCCTTAGAAAGCAAACTGTTCCTGTCTGCTGATGCTGTTTGACTACCCGTTTTGTAAAAGTTCCAGTAGGAAAGAATGGAATTAAATGGATTACGAACCACAACTACAGCTCTTCCTTGGAACAGCTGTATGTGTTCTCTCTCCATGTAATGTTATACTGTCTATAACCGTATGGGTAGATGGCTCTGTGATGGGTCTTTTGCAGAATTGTAGAACCATCTCTGAAATTCCTCAGTTCCCCGAGATGTCCAGCATCAGTAATTGACGTAGAAACAAATATGGACCCAGTAAAGATCCCTGAGGCACCCTCAATCAGATATCTGATCCAAGTATTCCCAGAGCCAGGGTAGGAAGCTAGAGCTCTCATAGGGATGGTTCCTGGTTTTGCTATTCTCGTTACAAATCCTCCACATTCTTTATCTCCTGGCCAGGGGTAACTTGTATTCTATTTGTATATGAAAGTTTTTAGCATTAGACTTTCAACTCAAAGTGTGTCATAAAGGGACTAGAGACGTAATTTTAAGTGACCCCCCATTTATGGAGTGGCATGTCCATTGTCCAGTAGGGGTGATCAATATTGGAATAGAGCCAACCGCCCACCGGAAGTCGCTGCGTTTTCACCTTTAGGCCACAAAAAAAATTTTATTTTTTATTTTCATGTTATTATACATTACTTTTTTGGAAATTCAATGCTAAATTCAAATCTGTAAAGTATTTAAAAAAATTTAAAATTGAGAGAGTCAGAGCTAAAAAACTTAAAAATGGTTTTCGAATCTGAATTCAGCATGACATTTCCAAGAAAATGATGTATCATTTTTTTTTTTGCAAGATACAAGACAGGAAAACACTCCTAATTTTCAAATCATCAATCAGATAAAGGTATACACGTTATCATTGGGAATCGAGCATGGCCCTCTTTAAATGGAGGATCACTTGAAATTATCATCGTGTATTTGACGAGCTTAAAAAATAGACATGTTTTTGGACACTTCATAAAATGAGTTAATATGCATGTGGAGCAGTAGTTCTAAATTATTTTAGATTAGTTTAGGGTTATTTTTTTCTTTTTTTACGCAATGCAGACTGACCTTTTTCTTCTTTTTAACAGAATTCATAGTTTAGAATATCTAAGGTCTACAACATTGGGTAGCAAAGATATAGGGATTAGAAATATAAGTTTGTGGACAACTTGCAATTCCTTTAGACATTCTTATCTGACAGAAGTTATAGCTTGAAATATCAAAAGTCTACAACACTAGGCTGCAAAGATTATAATTTGTGGCAAATTTTTAGTTCTTTTTGTGTTTTTTTTTATGTTACTTACAAAGTGAGTAAAAAAGCGGCATTAGCTTTAGTTTTAAAACCACAATGAAAATGTTTTCAGAGTTTATGTTTGGGGTTAAAAATATCAAATATAGTAAGACAAGTGCTAAATTTTTTTAACACAAACAACGCGAAATAAAATGATTTAACATTTTTTTCTTTTTAAAAAAAAAATCAGTTTTTTTCTATTCTAAAGTTTCATAAAAGTCTATTGATGAATAAAACATAACACGCATTTTCCATTTGAGAAAGTATTGTTGCACTTTAGTAAGTATCTACATTTCTAAATTTTTCAACGTAAAACATGTACCATGCCAACTGATGTTATGATTTCAAGTAGTCAAATAAACATGAAACACAGCAATTGTGTTTGTTCACAGACCCGTTCCACTTAATAAGTTGATTTTTTGCAATTAGTAAATCATTTGCTTTATAACAGAAAATGCATATGTAAAATTTCTTAATGTCATATTCCTTTTCCAGAGTTTTAGTGGGTTTCATCAAACAATGGCAAATCAAAACCTTTAATGTTTTTGGAATAAACTCATTTTCTTTAAACTTGAAATGTTTTGATTGACAGAATTATTGTTACGCTTTTGAAATTAAAACTCAGCCCTCATAGTCTAACGTTTATGAACAACATTTTCATCAGACATATACCTAACGTTAGACTAATCAATTTAGTATTCAGAGAAAAGTTATGAAACGTTTTGATTTACAGAATTACATTTTTTTAAATGTTATATTCTAGGCAGTCTAGAGTAAGATCTTTTACAGAATCTGTTTTCTTTCAACCGCTGGTTGAACTCTTTTTGTGAAACTTTTCTCCTTTTAAAAAAATTGAATGAACAATTTTTGGGAACAAACTTTTTGGAATCAATTGGAAAATGTTTTTAACTGAACGAATAATTTTATTTAAACCAGCGGTTACAGGAAAAAAGTATATTTTCAATAATGAAAACTAACAGTTGCAAGAAGAAAAAAGTTTCACAAAAAGAATTCATCCAGCAGTTAAAGAAAAAATATTTTGTAGAAAAAATTGATTCCAGCGGTCGAATGAAAAAAGTTTAAACCAACTGTTTTTTTAATACAGTGATAACCAGAAAACTCTAAAATAGGAAGACGACTTTATAGCAATACTGAAGTGTATTTAATGTTGTTACAGAAAAATTTTAATTTAAAAATCATGACAGCATTGAGAAATCAAAATATTAATATCATTTGTTCTTACAATATAGATTTAACTAGGAATGCGGGAAAATCATCGATATTCTCTAATCTAACAGATAAAATGTGGAAACTTAGATTCTTGAAATAATTCAGAAGTTAATTTAGCTTCATAAGATAAATTTTGTTTTTAGTGATTTATTTTGTAAGTTATGAAAGTTAGTTTTGTTTTGAATTGCGGATTATACTCAAAAACAGGAAAGTGGGTTTTGCATCGAGATATTAGTAATAGAGGGGGGCATCTGGAATTTTAGACTTCTTGTTGTACAGCCACTGTACACAATGACCCGATCAGAAATTATACCTGAGCCCAAAACTTAAGACAGGGTATCTTTATGAAAACCAGTTTTAAAACCCGGGTTTTACGAATGGGATTAGGCAGTTTTGTGGATATTAATTTCTTATTATGAAATATTTGTTTCTTCATGTTCTTCATTTTTTCGAATCTCTCACATCAAAATCTACAAAATGTTAAGACCCCAAAAAGGATACTCAAGGGTTTTGTTGAACGATACTCTTTTAAATTTCGGGCTCTAGGGGATCATAATTCGTAGATCAGTGTTTTAAGACATTCTTGTTTGAAAGTGAAGCCTTCAATATTCAAGCAAAGAAAACAACCCCATATGATTTTTGTATAAAAATGAGACATGAGAAATAGAGAAAAAAATAAAATCCTTCTCCTTAATAACATCTTGTTTCTTATCAAATTCTTAACTTCTGAAATCTACATTGTGCATTTACTCTTAGGAATATAGAATGCTTAATGTTTCATCAGGGATGCTGAACGTTTCTTTTAAATTTGTAATGGTTTCCTCAAGCCTCTCAACCTTTTCTTCCAATTTCCTTTTCTTTTTTTCAGATAAATGCAACTTTTCCTGAAATTCTTTAGCCTTTAATGTTGATTGTTGCAATCTCTCGAAAAGCTTTCCTTTGCTTAGATTCTCTCTTTGGTATGAATGGTCATGCCTTGCGACCTGTAATGAGTTGTTCACACAACCCATTTTAAATATAGAGGGAACTGCAAAATTTCTGAGTATTTTGCTATCTTTGTTTCTATAACAACTGTTGTCAAAATGTTCACTGCATGTAAAAATTGGGTGTTTTGTCTTCCAGATAACTTGTTCTATCCACTCTTTTTGTATGTTATGAAATATTTCTGAACCCAAAACATCGTTGTTTACACAATTTTTGACACTATCAATATCTCATTGTTGAAAAATATTAAAATTAACTGTCCAAAAAATACCGTACAAATAGATGTACTTAGGATTAAACCCACTGTACTCTATGATACCAACTCAGTCATAATTGGAAAGATTTTTCGACAAAATTCACTGTACAGTATAAACCTAGCCAGGCAAAATTAGGAGAGTTATGCCAGGGAACAGGAATATAGGGAAAGGAAATGGCGCTGGTCCGGCATTTTACAATTTACAATTTACAATTTACAATTTACGATTTACAATTTACAATTTGCAATTTACAATTTACAATTTACAATTTATAATTTACAATTTACAATTTACAATTTACAATTTACAATTTACAATTTACAATTTACAATTTACAATTCACATTTTACAATTTACGATTTACAATTTGCAATTTACAATATACAAATTAGTTTATTCAATAGTAAAATAATGTTATTATACACTTAGGCATTTACAATTTACAAAATTATTTTATTTTATGTTAAAATAATGTCATTATACACATAGGCATTTACAATTTACATTTTACAATCTACATCTTACAATTTACAATTTACAAATTAGTTTAATCAAAATTTAATTATTGCCATTATACGCTTAGGCATTTACTATTTACAATATAATACCATTGTATTAAAGGCATTTACAATTTACAAAATAATGCCATTATACACTTAAGCATTTACAACTTACAATTTACAATTTAGAAATTAGTTTAGTCAGTAATAAATTATTGCCATTATACGCTTAGGCATTTACAATTTACAAGTCCTTCATGTACTTGTATATTTTTATCCATAAACGTCTACATTTCCAATGAATTATATACAAATTACAATTTATGTATATATGACAATTTACAAATAGGTTGTAAAGAACCTGTCAAATCATTCGTTGGGATGTTTAGAAAGATGAAAATTTCCCTGTATTATAATTGAAGGACTGCAGTATGGTTTTGGTGAATTATATTGACGTACTAAGCCTAGGGGTGTCAGAAATGATTTTTTTTGCAGTTTTTCTATTTCAGAGTTTTTTGTTTTTTACTGTACGAAACCCATCAATTATAAGAAGAAAAAAGTTTCATAAAAAGAGTTAACCCGGCGGTAGAAGGAAAAAAGTGAAAAAACACAAAAAGCTTCTTAAAACTGTGGTGCCCAGCAGTAAAAAAATCTTATTATTCAGGGTGTCCTAATAAACGTGAGAATTTAGGGACGACTTTTATATCGCTTTCGATTCCTGACGCATTTTTTCATGAAAAAAAATTAATGCAATATTCCAGCTTAAACATGTAATACCGAAAACGCCATGTATTGAGATTTTTAAAATGTTGTCTACCATTTTTGTATCTTCAAAATTGACGGAGATATTGCGAAATTTGTTTTAAAATTATTTAAAAATAAAAATTGTCTCAATATCTCATATCTTCGTAAATTTTTAAGTTACAAGAAAGGTAGATCACTTTATGAAAATCTCGTCAGACATACAGCCTCGTTATTTTGCTTTCTTTGCCATGAATAAATATCAGAGATCTAAGACGACTTTAAAGTCGTCTCTCAATTCCCATGTTTATTGGGACTCCCTGTGTTAGTCTTAATCGCTCGTTCAAGCGCTCCCACCGCTACTGATGAATTTTTATATATCATTGTTTTTCTAAACAATGGTTGTTATATGC